CATGGCCCACTATATGCCCAATACACAGAACAATGAAGTTTAATACAGGAACACTGGTCGACGTCCACGAACAACGGCCCACGAGCACTCTAGCACTGGTCGACACCAAGGAGCACTCTAGCACTTCGGGCCGTTCCTCCTTGGTGTCTTGATAAGGGGTCCACCAAGTGTGAGTGTCAAACATCCAACTATCAAGGATTTCGGGTGTAAGAGTGGTCATGATTGTAGTGTAACTGCCATCCCCATTTTTATTCTGGCAGCTGTGAAACCTGCCGCCCGCTAGGATATCGTTGTCAGCCCAATGCGATGGCGGGAAAGTGGCTTTTGGGGTGGTCCGTTGACGAAATGAAGTCACATGTTGCTGTCCCGTCCAGACTCCCGACACCTCGAACCTCTGGTGGATCAACACAGCAAATCTACGAAAGAACTGGTTTACAACTACCCTGGCACTCATCCTCAAACAAGGGCGTAATGTTTTCATGGGGCTGCTGCAGACGACTTTTACTCATTTTTTTTTTTTAACATGACAAGTCACCTTAGACCGCAGTCAGGTCCAGGTTTGTGAGCTTCTGTAGACCAAAGCCTTAGAGCGTGTTACCTTCCCTACTTTTTGGTGGCTGGTCGAGGCAACCGAGCGATAGTCGAGGCAACCAGCCAGATTCACCGTACATTACCGAGATGGGTTCAAAACTTAACACATAAAACCGAAGTGTTTTCAAACTCAAAATTGAGGGAACCGTACACGCTCTTACTATTACTGTACAGCACTGTTGCAAAGTCGAAGTCGAGGTGAACGAACATTGGCTTCCCCTTCCTTGCTGCAGTGAACGGAGTCGAGAGTCTGTTTGCTGTTACCGCCCACCCTTCGATTCGCTTCAAGCACGTGGACAACCACCTGTTGCAGTTACGGTGTGTCTCGTTCACCAATCGTTCCCGCCTCGGATGGTGGTGGTGGTGGAGGAAGAGCGATCATCTTTGCCACTCATCTCTCAGATGGGCTGTCTGCTGTAAACTGAGTTGCAACCCTACCTTGTCGCTCACTGATTCTTTCCATCTCAAAACACTAACACCCCTCCAGTAATCTGTTAGTATGGATTCTGCCAATCCAGAAAATCCAACAGCTGTCAAAGGCGCGCTCGCCATGGCTTGTCATGATATATCATGAATATAAGCAGTCACCGCCTTAACTTTCTGCCTTGGCATGTCATTTCCTGACAATACGCACTATGACATGCTTGTAACCGTTGTTCCCGATATTGTTCCAGAGGCAGTTTTGAGGGGTTTTCGACTCGCAGACTGGCCACACGAGGATTTTTTGCGGAATCGATCAATCCCGTTGAATTTTTAGTTCAAGATTAACAGATGATTGCGACCCACCAGATGCGTCATGCAGAAATTGGTACCGCCCAACCTGAGCTGAGCGAGTTAAAACAGTCGGATTCTGTGTCATCACTGAACGTGTTCCTATAACTTGTAGCAGCGGGAAGCGGGAAGCTTTGATGTCGCGCAAAACAAAAAAATTGGATGGATGAGCTTCGTGTGATATTCGAGCAAGTCAGCAGAAGCGTGGTTACAAAGGAGGCCTGAAAAAATCGGAGGAAAGTGACCAACAGCTGAAGGTGGATCTTCCTTCAGAAATTGCCGTTCACAGGTCAGACCAGAAAAACAGCACTACTAAACAATCGCGTTTCTTACTCTTGAGTGTGTCGATTTCATCATGTCACGCTATTACATGTCCAGGACTTGCAAATGGTGCAGATCTGTTCTTGACAGCACTACTGCTACCTCAGCCTAAGTACGAGCAGTGCATCATAAAAAAAATCTGCACGTCACGTGGTAACATCTAGAATACATCTTGAAACCCCGTTCTTGAAATCTGCACGGCAGTACTCTAAGAAATGAACCTCCTTTTCCCTTCTTGACATCTCCTTTTCACGTGCTTCAGGTTGGCAAGACGGCGCCTCAGGTCTCCTAATGCGGGGGAGAGTCAACCTTCAGTTTTTTCGAAGCTCATCTCACTGGACCCAGCATCTCTAGTACTACCAGGAGCCTGCAGTGACTCTGTCTCTGTCAGCATTTGATTTCTGAGTCACTACTGGCACAGGCGTCAGGTGACTTGCTACTGCCACACAACAGATCGTTGAGTCTAAACGACCATCCGACGTTGACCATATGCTGTCTCATTAGGCAAGCTATAAAAGCCAAAAGCTGTCGCAGCACCCTTGCCATTCCCCGCTTCCTTTACCACACATATTGTTCTTGAGTCGACTCGCAAACAAGCCCGTTCTTGAGTTGTCTCCTCGCCTGGATGCTCTCTGTCTCCTCGCCTTCTTGAGTGGAGTGGGCCCCACTGGGTACTTATTAGCACTAGTATGGCCTCCTCCTCTCACTCCTCTCTCACACCAATGGCTTCCTTGCCTGAAGACCGTCCTTCCCTTAGCGCCATGGCCGTTGCACATCATAATCCATACAGCGATCCCACACGAACCACTTTTATCGCAACCCCGGCACACCCTAGCATATCTAGTACTACTCCACCGCTCTCCACCACTCCGGTTGGCGTTTCCTTCAGCAGCCCTACTGTGCTCTCGGCCTTCTTGGGGTCTCTTAACCCAGCAGCTGACCGCACAAGACAAATTCCTGCAGGCTTGGGAGGCAGCGATCTTCTGATTGGAAATGATTCTTCCGTGCAAGTGCCGCAAGAAGGGTTTGGATCTGTCGCTGGTAAGGACTCTGATAGAGGGAGAGGGCCTGGAGGCATGGTTGCCGCAACGGCTGAGATCAGTGGCGCTACTACGCCCTTGGCTGGTCCCAGAGTAGGTGAATCTGATGGTGAGAGGAGGGGTGGGTCTCACGGAGCGAGTGTGAGCATGACCCAAGAGGCTATGGTCCAGCTTTTGGGATTTCTACAGCGGCAGCAGCGGCAACAGCAGCAGCAGCAGCAGCAGCAGCAGCAGCAGCAGCAGCAGCAGCAGCAGCAGCAGCAGCAGCAGCAGCAGCAGCAGCAGCAGCAGCAGCAGCAGCAGCAGCAGCAGCAGCAGCAGCAGCAGCAGCAACAGCAGCAAACTGAAAGGCCAGCAGCTCAACAACCAGCAGCATTCTTTCCGCAGCATGGAACGGTCACCCCGCCTGCTTCTTCACCCCCTGTTTCATCCCCGCAGCCTATGCCATTTCCGCGTGAACCTTCACCTCAGCTCTCCATGGGACTTTCGTTACCACGACACACGCAGCAAGGAAGAACGCACCCTGCGGACCCGTGCCCACGCCCAGCTCTAGTCGTATCCCCGATCGGTACCTCATCTCATGGGCAATTTCCAGCACCCACACCAGCTTTTTTTCCCCAACCATTCGCATCCGCGTGGCAAGTTACTGGCCAGCCCACTGGCCAGGCCCTTGCTGCTGCTTCTTCGCCTGTGTCTGTCTCATCACTGCGGCTTTCCCAGTCTTCTCATGCTCAATCCTTCTCGACGACGTTTCCCACGGTTTTGGCTCCACCTCCACCTGCTGTATTGGATGAGGGGTCTTCTGCTGTGGTTTCGTGGCAAATGCAGCTGCAGCGTCTGAGGCAGCAGCAGCAGCAGCAGCTCCATCCGGAGAAGAAGCAGCAACAAAGACAGGAGCAACATTTGTGGCAGAAGGACCACCAGGAGCAACAACAGCATCAGCAGAGGGAGCAGCAACAGCAACGACATCAACTGCAGCAGCAACAGCAGCAGCAACAGGAGTGGAGGCTGCAGAAAAAACAGCAGGAGCAACAGGCGTGGCAGCAGAGGCAGGATCAGGAGCGACAACAGCATCAGCGGTGGGAGCAGCAACACCAGACCCGAAAGCAGGATCAACACCAGACCCGAAAGCAGGATCAACACCAGCAACAACATCAACTGCAGCAGCAGCATGGGCAACAACAGCAACAGGAGCGGCGGCAGCAGGAACAGCAGGAGCAACAACAGCAACAACAGAAATTGCAGCAGCAGCAGCAGCAAGAGCAACAACAGCAACAACAGGAACTGAAGCAGCAACAGCAACACCAGCAGCAAAGGATCGTAGCTGCTATTATAATGATGACTGCTGGAGCACACTCAGAAGCCTCAGGGGGGACTGGATTGCCAAGTATAGCAGCTTTGCCAAATATAGACGTTTATCGGGGAGTTCCCGCAAGTGCAGCAAGAGTAGCAGACTCTGGTGCAGGAGCAGCAGCTTTACCTGCCCTGCCTGCTCCGGGACCACAGCTTATGAGCAAAGGGATGAGTGGATCGGGTACGGACGGGGTAGAGGCACCTTCTTTGCCAAATCTGGCTTCTTTTCTAAAAATAGTGGGGCGTGGAGGGGGTGGAGCAGGGGCAGAAGGCAGAGAGGAGTCAGCCGGTGGGTTGTTGAGAGGGGTGGTGCCTTTTGAGGGAAACATGGTAAGTGGAAGTGGCTGTGAAAGGGATGTTGGACGAGGGAGAGGAGGAATAGGAGGAGCAGGAGGAATGGAAAGAACCAGAGAAATGATATCTTCAGCAGATCTGGGGGAAAATGCGGCAGGATCGGCAAGGATTCGAGAAGCCGAAGGTGGAAGCGATGGTATCAGCGTCTCGGATATCCTCAACTCCCAGCCCTCTATTTCTCCATCTTACAGACCTGTCAGAACTCCAAGGGTTCAGAACAGAAACTCAAGCACAAGCTTAGCGACTGTTGCAGAAGATAGAGAGGGGGGCGCCCTTTTTGCAGCAGTGGGACCTGCCCTGGGAAGCAGGAGAGATGCATGCAGCGGTGTGAAAAATGGGTCGCTCAAGCATGAAAGCACGAGCATACACCAAGAGAATCTTGACCTCTCCTTGTCCCTGTCCCTATCTCCTGCTCCTCGTGCTGCTGCTACTGCTGCTGCTGATGCTGCTTTTCCTGCTCCTGATGGTACTGCTGTTACTGCTTCCCGTGGTGCTGTTTATCCTGCCTCTAATGGCTCACCTGCAGCTCGATATACCTCTACGGCTGACAAACAGGCGGAAATTCATCTTATGAGAGTAAGTGCGGCACCTAGTTTTGAGGCGGCTCAAATCTCAGAGGCTGATCAGAAGGCGGGGATTTCTCAAACGGGGGTTTGTAGGGCTGAGGTTGGGGCGCGTGAGATGCAGATGGGCCTTGTGCGGTTTGATGCGGTAGGAAGGGAGGAGGGCTGCATGGGGGAGTCAGGACGATGGGGAAGACGAGGAGAAGGGGTGAAGGGAGGAGGAGGTGGTGAGTGGGGAAGTAGAGGAGGAGGAGGAGGAGGAGGAGGAGGAGGAGGAGGAGGAGGAGGAGGAGGAGGAGGAGGAGGAGGAGGAGGAGGAGGAGGAGGAGGTGGAGGTGGAGGAGGAGGAGGAGGAGGAGGAGGAGGAGGAGGAGGAGGAGGAGGAGGAGGAGGAGGAGGAGGAGGAGGAGGAGGAAGAGGGGGAGGAGGAGGAGGAGTAGGAGTAGGAAGAGTAGGAAGATTAGAAGGAAAATCACAAGGAGGAGTAAAAGGTGGTTCTGTTGAGACAGCAGCAAGGCCAATAGGAAGTGAAACCAGGACCGGAGCAGAACATTTCCGCACGCGATCAGGCGGCCCTCCTGGTACTTCCATGCATGCTCATGCATGTATGACTTCACGTTCCTTTATGTCTTCAAGTTCTCACGCTCATCCGCCTTCAGTAGTTGCACCCAGTTCCTCTGCTGCTGCTCCCACTGCTGCAGCTTTCACTCCTGCTGCTGTTCCCACCGCTGCTTTTGCTACTTCTGGTGCTCCTGCCTCTGCTGCTTTTTCTCTTGCTGCTGCTCTTAACACTGCTGCCATTTCTCCTGCTAGTGCACCTGTTGCAGCAGCTGCTGCTGCAACCACTCTGGCTGCTCCTCCTCCTCCTCCCTCCCCTGCCATTGGCCCTCCTCCTGATCGCTCTGCCTCTGCCGCTGCCATGACATCAGCAGTTGCGGCTGGCCCCCTCCTTGCAGCGCTCCTCTCCTATCAAGCATCCCATCTGAACAGCATCAGCTCACCGCAAATTTCCTCTCAAGCTTCTCATCGTTTCAACTCAGAGTGCAAGCCTGCTGCTGCTGCTGCTGGAGGTGGTAGTGGTGGTGGTGGTGGTGGTGGTGCTGCTGCTGCTGCTGCTGCTGCTGCTGCTGCTGCTGCTGCTGCTGGTGCTGCTGCTGGTGCTGCTGCTGCTGCTGCTGCTGCTGCTGCTGGTTCTGCTGCTGCTGCTGCTGCTGCTTCTGGTGCTGCTCCTTCTGCCGGTAGTGATGGTGGCGGTGTTGGTCCCTTTCTGGCGAATCACCAAGCACCTCACCTTCTCAGCGCACAGTTTGCACTTGCTTCTGCTGGTGGTGTTTGCTCTGCCCCTTTTGCTGATGTTGTTGGTGGTGGCAGCGGCGGCAGTGCTATTTCAATTCTGACTAACCACCAAGCACCTCATCGGCTTAACACACAACATTCACTCGTTGCTGCTGCTGCTGCTGCTAATCGTACTGCTGGCAACGGTGGTGGTGGTGCTGGTAGTGGTGGTGGTGGTGGTGGTGGTGCTGCTGCTGCTGCTGCTAATCGTACTGCTGGTAACGGTGGTGGTGGTGGTGGTGCTGGTTGTGGTGCTGGTGCTGCTGCTGGTGGTGGTACTGCTGCTGCTGCTGCTGCTGCTGTTACTGCTGCTGTTGCTGCTGCTGCTGCTGCTGCTGCTGCTGCTGCTGCTGCTGGTGCTGCTTCTTTTTCAAAAGAAGTTTGGGGAAGCAAGGAGGGAAGGCAGGTCAAATTGGAGCAGATGGGTGATGTGGTAAGCAGGGGAGGGGGGGGATTTGTGGAGCATTCCAGGCTGGATGGTCAAGCGAGAGGGGTTTGGGGAAACAGCAGGGAAGAGATAGGTAAGAAGAGAGGGAGAAAGGAAGAGGAGATGGAGGAGGACGACGAGGACGAGGAATTTGAGCTAAATTGTAAATTCCTGCCAATGCGAGTAGTCCTGGGAGCAGCAGGTGCAAGGGAGTCATTTGGAGGAGGAATGGCAGTGAGAGATGGTGGTATGAGGGGGGATGGTGGTATGAGGGGGGACGGTGGCAGTGGGAGTGGTGGTGGGGGGCATGGTGGGGGAGGGGATGATAGTAGGAGTGGTGGTGGGGATGGTGGTGAGAATGATGGTGCGAATGGTGGAGGGGTAGGCGGTGGTAGGGTTGTTAGCAGTGGGAGTGGGCATAGTAGCGGGTACAGCAGAGCAGGCTCAGGAAGGCGGAAAACAGCAAAGACAAGTAAGGCAGATCTGGCCGCACCTGCAACCACTGCAACAGGCGTTGCTGGAAGCATGCGGATCGCCTCAGATCATGGCGAATTGAGCAGCAGAGGTGCACCCGTTGATGCTTCGTCTAATCAACCCACTAGTGCTAACGCTGCCCCGTCTTATCTGCCGGCCGGGAAGCGAGCAAAAAAGGACAAAAACAGGTACCGTGGCGTGCGGCAGCGGCACTGCGGGAAGTGGGTGGCTGAGATCCGATTTCCTAAGAAGAAATCCCGCGTGTGGCTCGGAACGTTCACCTGCCCGGAAGATGCTGCCCGAGCGTACGATCGGGCAGCTGTGAAACTTCGTGGGCCCCGAGCGTTGACGAATTTTCCAGATGAGTATGAGAATTGGCAAAATGGGGTGGGAGATGACTTGTTGAGGTTTAATGGGGAGGAAGGAGTGGAGAAGGAGGAAATGGGGAAGGATGAGGTGGGGTTTAAGGCGGGAAGTGCAGCAGAGAGAGGGGAGGGAGGCAGCAAAGGGGAGATGTATACGGTTAGAGAAGGTGAGGATGAGGGGAGGGGAGCGGAAAGCAGTAAGCAGCAGATGGGGAAAAGGGCGAGGAGCAAGGGTGGAGGAAAAAATGAGGGAGGGGAGGAAGAGAAGTTGGACGTGAGTGGAAAAGGCTGTGCAGAGTGGAAGGCAGATGGCAGGGACAAGTGAAAAGTACGGGGGAGCAGGGCTATAGGGAGATGATCCTAACCACTTCAGAGTGCATCGTTTCAACTCAGTGCAAGCCTGCTCCTGCTGCTGGTGGTGGTGGTGGTAGTGGTGGTGCTTATGCTTCTGCTGCTGCTATTGCTGGTGCTGCTGCTGTTGCTCCTGCTATTGATGGTGCTGCTGCTGCTGCTGCTCCTGCTGCTGGTAGTGATGGTGGTGCTGTTGGTCTCTTTCTGGCCAATCACCAAGCACCTCACCTTATCAACGCACAGCTTGCACTTGCTTCTGCTGGTGGTGCTGCTGGTGCTGCTGCTGCTGCTGCTCCTGCCACCGGTGGTGCTTCTGCTGTTGGTGCTGCTGCTGCTCCTCCTGCCACCAGTGGTGCTTCTGCTGTTGGTGCTTCTGCTGGTGGTGCTGCAGTCCCTTTTGCTGATGCTGTTGTTGTTGGTGGTGGCGGCAGCAGCGACGGCTGCTGTGCTGTTTCATTTCTGGCGAATCACCAAGCAACCCATCGGCTCAACACACAACATTCACCGGCTGCTGCTGCTGCTGCGGCTATTTGTACTGCTGTCGACGGTGGTGATGGTGCTGGTCCTGCTGCTGCTGCTGCTGCTGCTGCTGCTGCTGCTGCTGCTGCTGCTGCTGCTGCTGCTGGCGCTGCTTGTTTTACAGAAGAAGTAAGGGGAAGCAAGAAGGCAAGGCAGGTCAAATTGGAAGAGATGGGTGATGCAGTAAGCAGAGAGGGGAGACCTGAGCGTTTCAGGCTGGATGGCGAACTGGGAGGGGTTTGGGGAAAAAGCAAGGAAGAGAGAGGTAAGAAGAGAGGGAGAAAGGAAGAGGAGAAGGTGAGGAAGACGAGGACGAAGAGGAAGACGAGGAGGAATTTGAGCTAAAAAAAAATATTCCTGCCAATGCGAGTAGTCCTGGGAGCAACAGGTGCAAGGGAGGCATTTGGAGGAGGAATGGCAGCGAGAGATGGTGGTATGAGGAGGGATGGTGGTATGAGGGGGGACAGTGTGTGAGGGGGGACGGTGGTATGAGGGGGGACGGTGGCAGTGGGAGTGGTGGTGGAGGGCATGGTGGGGGAGGGGATGATGGTAAGAGTGGTGGTTGGAATGTTGGGGGTAATGGTGGAGGGGAAGGCGGTGGTAGGGTTGTTAGCAGTGGGAGTGGGCATAGCAGCGGGTGCAGCAGAGCAGTCTGGGGTGCCAGAGGCAGGCGGAAAACAGCAAAGACACGTAAAGCAGAGGTGCTGCTGCAGAGATACGCCTACAATAGCAGCCAGAGATGCTGCTGCAGCAGTGCGGATCCCCCGTGATGGTGGTGAAGCGAGAAGCAGAGGTGCACCTCTTGATGCGTCCTCTAATCCAACCACAAGTGCCATCACAGTTCCGCCTTTTCTGTCCACTATGGCGGCCGGCAGACAAGCAAGGAAAGACAAAAACAGGTACCGGGGGGTGCGGCAGCGGCACTGCAGGCAGAGATCCGATTTCCCAAGAAGAACTCCCGTGTGTGGCTTGGAACGCTCACCTGTCCGGAAGAGGCTGCCCGAGCGCACGATCGGGCGGCGGTGAAACTTCGTGGGCCCTGAGCATTGACGAATTTCCCGGATGAGTATGAGAATTGGCGGAATGGGGCAGAAGATGACTTGTTGGGGTTTAAGGGGGAAGAAGGAGTGGAGAAGGGGGAGACGGGGGAAGAGGATGAGGTGGGGTTTATGGGGGGGAGTGAGGCAGAGGGAGGGCAAGGAAGGAGGAAAGCGGGGATGGATATGACTGGAGAGGGTGAGGGGGGGGGGGGATGGAAGGCAGAAGGCATCACACGAGGGGAAGTGCGAGGAGCAGGGCTGAAGGGACAAGGGAGAGAGAGAAGGGAGGACATAGATGTGATTGATAAGGGGCATGTGGAGAAGCGGGATGAGTGCAAGGCAGAAGGCAGAAGCTGAGGGGTGAGTGGTTTTGAGGGGGTGGGGGAGGCTAGGAGTGGGGCTGATGGAAGAATGGGAAAAAGAGAAGGGAGGGGACACAGATGTGATTGTGAAGGTTGATGGGGAGAAAGGGGATGAATGATACGCAGGAGGCAGAAGCTGAGGGGGAAGGTTAGGAGCATGGCTGAAGGAAAATGGGATACAGGGGAGGGAGGGGACATAGATCTGATTGGGGAGGGTGATGGGGAGAAAGGGGACGAGTGAAAGGCAAAATCCTCATTGCCAGTTACAATTCTGTCCTCAAACCTGCTGGAAGCAGAAGGAAGGAGTTTGAAGGGGGAGGGTAGGGAGAAGGGCTGAAGTTGAATTGTCACAAACACTTAGCATTCTGCCATTTGTGAGTAGACTCAAAAGTCGCCTCGTTGAAGAGGGAGGCCGAGAAGCAGGGCTGAAGTAGAATCGTCACTTGGACTCATCATTGCTGTTGAACCAGTTATCATTCTGCTGTTGAACCTGCTGCTGCTTCATCGTTGCCCATCGCTGAGACTGCTTGTGCAAGAGAACCGTGATATTGACACACTTGTCGGAAAAATGATCATGTGTTCTGGTGTTTCACTGGGGGATGGGCGTATTGAGAGATGCATGTGTGAGGTATCACTGGCTTGAGGTATCTTTGAGGGTTTTGTGGGGTCTCAAAACTGAGTGTGGCTGATTGGGAATAAGAGAGTGAATGGGAGGAGAGGATGAGGGAGTGGGAAGGGAGAGGGCAAGGGAAGGGTAGTGGAGGGGAGAGAGCAACGGGAACGGTAGTAGAGGGGAGAGGGAAAGGGAAAGGTATTGACGGAGAGAGGGCAAGAGGAGCGTAGTGGAGGGGATATGGAAACGGAAGGAAAGTGGGGGGAAGCGGGCAACGAAAGGGTAGTGGAGGGGGGAGTCAAAAGGAATGGTTGTGGAGGGGGGAGCTCAAGGGAACGGTAATAAAAGGGAGAGGGCGAGGGAAGAGTAGCGGGGGGGAGAGGGCAAGGGGGGGAGAGGGCAAGGGAGGGCAAGGGAGGGAAAGTGGAGGGGAGAGGGCAAGGGAGGGAAAGTGGAGGGGGGAGGGCAAGGGAGGGAAAGTGGAGGGAGAGGGCAAGTGAAGGGTAATAATGGGAGAGGGCGAGGGAAGAGAAGTGGGGGGGAGAGGGCAAGGGAGGGATAGTGGAGGGGAGAGAGAGGGCAAGTGAAGAGTAGTGGATGGGAGAGGCCATTGCTAACTGCACTTCACATGCCTTCCAAACATATTTCGTAGCAATACAGCACAATATGCACGACATAGGCGCACATAGCGAACAAAGCTCAGCAAGTTCTAAGCATTATGGTCCACAAGGTGCGCTGGTTGATGTTTTAAAGTAGCCCAGACCACCCTTTTCGCCCAGGCCGCCCACGCAGCACCATCCATTCTGCCCACGCCGCCCACGCAGCACCACCTATTCTGTCCATGCCGCACCTTGCATTCTGCCCACGGAGCACCTCCCATTGAGCCAATGTCGCACCTTTTAGTTCGCCCACGTAGCACCCCCCATTCCGCCCATGCCGCATCTTCCATTCTGCCCACGCCGCATCTTCCATTTTGCCAATTCCGCATCTCCCATTGAGCCCACGCCGCACCTTCCATTCCTAACTGTCAACGGGAGTGTTGTTTGGCCCCATCCTCGCTTGGGGCGGAGCCGACTTCGTGGTCGGGTGTGCGTGGAATGCAGCCGACCTGCAGCAGCGGGTATGGGGGCCACTGCAAGGGCGCCGAGCTCGAGGGCGCCTGGCTGGAGGGAGCCGAGCAGGAGGACGCCGACTTGGGCGTCTGGTCCGGCGTCCTGGCGCATGGACGCCGACCTGGGCGGCTGGTCGCCGGATTGGGGACGCCAGGCTGGTGACGCCTAGACGCCGGACGCCGGATTGGGGACGCCGGGCTGGTGCAGCTGGCGACCGACTTGGCTGGACGACCAGGTGTGGTTGCCCGGTCGACCAGGATACCTGAGCGACGTTGCGAAGGTCGCCGGGGTGACTTCTGCAAGGCTGACCTCGGGAGTGGTATCCCGAGGTCGACGTGGTTGGTGGGCGCAGTCGCTGGCGTAGATTCTGGTGAGCGTCTGCGCTGTGCCTATGATGGAGGAGTGACGCACCAACCAGCTGTACGCACCTGCGAAGCAGGTGCATCGTTGTCCTGCGGGTGCAACACTGTGCAGCCGACTTGCTGCAGCGTTGGCACACCATGGACTTGCAACGTTGGCGAACTGCTACTCTGCAACGCAGGAGCGGTTCGAGCTCTGCTGCGCTGGATGGCGGTCGACCGTGCTGTGTTGGAGGTGGACCGGCGACCTAGCTAGCTCTGATGTAGTCTATGTAGTCAATGTTGTAATCGCCATTGTTGTTAACTTTTCCTAGTGGAACTCTTGTCAATTCTCCCCGTGAACTAGCAAGTAGTGAGCACACAAGGAAACGACTAAGTGAACGAACGCAAAGATCGCTCAAGCCCCGTGCCTAGCCCGTAGTCTAGCTTCCGTTGAAGTAGTTATCTCCGCATGGTGCGCGCGTGGACGACACACGACTTACTTTTCAGTCAGGTCGACGTAGTTGTCACTTATATAATTTGTGTTCGTAGGCTGGCAGATGTGCGGTAGTCACTATGGTAGGCGCCATAGTTGACACGAGGGTGGTGGATACCCTGGAGGCACGGCTGGAGAATGAAAGGAGACGTCACGAGGCTAACGAGTATGGCGATCTGCCCTGGGCGGTCGTCAAGGCTGACACCCGTGCCGTATGGGCGACAGAGCACCCTTCTCGGCCTGTCTCTCCTTGTCCAGTGAACACCGAGGGCGGCGTCGACGTCAGCGTCAACGCCGGTGGTGACCAAGTTGGCAGCAGTGCGGGAGGCACGTCGAGGCAGCGAGGTGTGATACACGCCGATGAAGTCGGCGGCGTTCAGACGCGAGTGATGCGGTTGTCGGCGGTTGCAGGCTCCTCAACAGGCAACGTCGGAGGTCAATGAAGCGTTTCGTCGCCGATATTGGCTACCCACGTGACAACAGGCGGGATAGCACATAGCTACGGCTACTTCAAGTTTACGCCTGACAGGATCTCGGTTACCCCTCTGCTCGTCGGTCGACCCATGAAACTCACCTGGAAGGAAGCCATCGAGCCCCAGCTGGAGATGGTTGGGCTGATCGGCTTCGCCCGAGGCACCATGGAGACACCATCGGAGCACTAACTCGAACTACGTGCGGAGTTTCGCGTTGTGCAGTTGCTGACCTTCACGGTCATCTCGCGGTGCTGCTCGCCGAGCGTGTAGATCGCTTTGAAGCCGTGCAGGGACTACTTGGACGCCGGCCACCAGGCATGGTACTTCATCGAATCGATGTACCAGGTCACCGACGACCTGTACATCGGCCAGCTCGAGGAGCAGATGACGCATCTGCGAATGGGCGACCGAGAGACGGCGACCAACTACTACAACCGGGCTCAGCGACTTCTCGCTACTATGAGGATGTCCGGCGTGCAGTACTCCACGGCGTCATATGTTACCCATGACTTGAAGAGGCTGCCGAGAAGCTACAACCTAATGAAGCGGTTGTAAGTGGTGTCGAGCACACGTGCAACGCTCAACAAGGACTCTCTGACCTCGTACATCCTTAGGGACGAGGCGATGCAGGAAGCCGAACAATCTTTGAAGCTCCTACCGTAGGCAAACTTTGTTGTGCCCGTAAAGTAGGGAGGCCGACCGGGGTAGCGTGGGCATTCTAGCGGCAGTGGAAGCGGTGGTGGGAGGCCGATGAAGGACGTCGACAAGAAGAAGTCGGCCAAGGATAGCGGTCGTGGAGGAGGGAGTCGACGTCAGGAGTGCTGGCTGTGCGGCGGCCCCGACCATCTCTCATTCGAGTGCCCCAACCGCAGTGACTCAAACGACGACGACACCAAGGGTGGCCGCGAGAGGTCAGTCGGGCGTCGCCCTCGCTGGGAGAGTAAGCCGCGCAAGGAGAAGCAGTCGACCAAGTCGACCTCGACGAAGGACGCTGACTCCTCTGCTGGCGGCAAGAAGCGCGACGACAAGGAGGCATTGTGCTCGCTGGTCGACGTCGTGGAGCTGACCGTCTCGCTGGTGCCGGAGGCTGGCGAGGACTTCCAAGCAATGGCTACACTGGTGCAAGCGAACCCGGAGGTGGTCTTGCTCGACAGCGGCTGCTCTCACCACCAGATGGGGACGAAGGAGGCCTTTGTCGACTTGGGGCCGAGTGGTAATGTGAAGCATGTGTGTGGCTTCAATGGGGCATTGCAGGACGTCCAGGGTCGTGGCACCGTCGCCTTGCAAGGTGACGCCAGGACGCAGGTGCTCATCCCCGATGTACTCTACGTTCCGGGCATGAAGGCAAACCTGCTCTTGGCCAGCCAGATGAAGGAGAACAAATGTGAAGCTGAAGGAGGATGGCAACATGCTGTTGCTCGTCACGACAGCAGGAGATGTCCTCAGTCGGGTGTCCTACACCGGCCGGGTCCTCTGCACCGACCTGCGTCCTTGCTCGGCGAAGTCGACGACGCCCACAGCGGAGGTGGTGGCCCTGCGGACGATAGTTTCGGCGACGAAGTCGACGCCAGACTGGTTGCATGCGAGGCTTGCGCACGCCGGCATGGACACCACCTGGAGCTCGGCGAAGCACGAGGTCGCCACTGGGCTGGACCTCAAGTCGGCGTCTGGCGCCGACTCACCGTGTGTCTCGTGCGTCGGCTGGAAGCTGGCACGGCACACCTTCCTTGACCAAGGCTCTGACGCTGGTCGACCTCGTGCCACGGCTGGTTGCTCCTCACCGTAAGGCCGCTCCCCAGCTTGCTGCAGGCGAAGGCAATGTCCGACCTCGTCGTCGTCGCCGCGAACTGCAGCGAGCCGAGCTTCGGCCGGTGCTCCTCCTCCTGGCGCTCCTGGGCCTCCTCGTCGTCGAACGTGAGCTCGGCGTAGGCGTTGACCGAAACCGGCATCTTTGGGGTGCGCCCGGTCTGCTCCTCGTGGATGAAGGGCCTACGCAACTTGTCGGCATAGCTCTGCTAGTGCAGCCACAACTTCCCCGCCGACGTGTCACGGATGATCTCTAGCCCAAGGTTGTTCTGCACCAGCGAGATCTCGCGCAGCTCCAAGGCGGCCTCTAGCAGCTCCTTCAGCTCCTTCAGCATCTCAGTGCTGCTGCTGGCGGAGAGCAGGTCGTCAATGTAGACCAGCACCCAGCAGGCCACTCCGTCGTCGCCGACTTTGAAATACAGAGCCTCGTCAACTTGGCTCTTCTTCCACCCAGTGACGACCAGCACGTCGTTGAGGGCCTTGTACCACAACAGCGGTGACTGCTTCAGCCCGTATAGGCTCTTCAGTAGCTTACACACCTGGTCGGTTTCGTCGTTGAAGTAGTCTGGCTGGGACATGTACAGCACCCGGTCGAGCTTGCTCTGCAGAAAGGCGTTCTTCATGTCGAACTGCATCAGGTTGAGGTTGAGGACGGTGACGATGCTGAGGAAGATCCTCAGCGTGATGTAGCTGCTCACCGGCGCATACGTCTCGTCGTGGTCGGCGCCATACACCTGCATGGAGCCCTTCACGACCAGCCTCGCCTTCTCGCGCTCGGCCGTGTTGTCGATGCGGTACTTCGTCGTCAGCACCCACTGGTTCATTCCCGGCGGGCGTTCGACTAGCTCCCATATTGATGAGGCTGCGGATTTCCTCCTCCATGGCGGCTTTCACCGCTGGACCCTTCCAGCTAGCCAACGCCTCCATCACAGACATCGTTGAGATGTCCCAACGGTGCTCGGGGTCGACATGCATGTCAGGGTCGAGCTCCGGAAAATCGTCATCCTCCTCGGCGTCGTCATACGCCACGTCGTCATCGTCCACATCGTACATCGTGGTGAAGGCAGCGTGGACGAAGAAGTCGGGTGTGTCAGAATCCCAACCACTAGACCATTGGGATAAAAGGGCTTGTTTCAGTAGCGGGTCAGTACGCCCATAACCCCCCAGACGAACGCGCCTGTAACCCTCTCCAGGATCAATCGGGCATCCACAGTGCAGATCTACTGACAGGGTGGCCTCCAAATTCGGCCTGACTTCCGAGGTCCAGGCTGAACCTCCAAAACGTTGCTGTTGGTAGACTCCTCGGCGTCCCCTCCTTCGTCACTGGCTTGTCAATATATACTTAATATGCATTGTTTAGGTTAGTCTAGGTGTTACATTTCTACT